AATTGTGCTACTATAAACATGAGTGTGCATATGTCACTGTGGTATGATGTTTTATATTCTAAGAAGACATCAAGAAGAGGATTATCTGGGTTGAATGGACCTTTAATCTTACTGTTTTTTAAGGAATCTCCACACTGATTTCCACAGTACTCATATCAGTCTACACTCCAACAGTGTAGACTACCAAACAATATAGACTACCAACAGTAGAGAAGAGGTCCTTTTTCCCCACAGCCCCATCAGCATTTGTTATTGTTTGATTTCTTAACATCAAAAGAAATCATCAACAGAGTTTTAAAAAACAATGCACAGAGTGGGAAAAAATTGTAGTCAATTGTCCCTCAGACAAAGGATTTCTGTCTAGGACATATAAAGAATTGAAAAAAATCAGACACCACCCCCCCCCAATTCAAAGATCCAGTCCAAAAACTGGCATCTGAGATGAATATGTACTTCTCAGATGAAGAATTACAAATGACAAATAAATATATTAAAATATGTTAACATCATTGATCATTTGAGAGACACAAATTAAAACTTCCGGTTTTTAACATTGTGTTTTCAGATGTTATAATCTCTTTAACTACCAGTGCTTCATTGTACCATGCTGCCTAAGCCCAGCCCAGGTGCTGACAGACTACGCCCAGCAGCCTAGAGGATCATTGAATTCTCTGGCTGGGCCCCACTCATAGCCATTCAAACACAGCAGAGTGTGCAGCCTTCCCCAGAATCCCTAAAAACAGAGTTTTTACTGAATTCCCAGAGCTAAGGTTGGGAGAATTCATCCCCTCTGTAGTCATCACCAAAGCTAAAGAGAATGAACAGGTCTGGACCCCACCACGAAGATTTTTCATCTTGATCAAAAGAAAGTTTCTTGTCACAGGGCGAGGAGATCTCACTAAAGAGTAAATGCCACAGATGGGCTCTCCTGTGCGTGACTATAAGTCCAGAAGCTCTGGCATACTCAATGCCCAGGCTTTGCAGGTACCCACACTGGGAGTGAGAGAAGCCAATAGCACTGAGGTACAGGAGCATCTGCACCAGCCCACATGGCTTCTCGCCCTGTACCCTACTTAGCCCAAATATCACATCCAAGTTGGGATTAGGAGGCAGAGAGGAGCAGAAAAGCAGAACTAGGGACTTGGATATTAGACACTGAGAAAGCTCAGTCTTGTGCACTCCTGGACTTAGCATGGCTACGGGAGGCCTCCATGCAGGAGAAATGACTCCAGGAGACATGACTGTGCCTTCAGCTCTACTTCTCCTGCAAATCAAATGTGGGTGAACAGGCTCTGTCCTGAGCAAGAGAGAGCAGGCATGTGGGAGGTAAGGAAGAAGAGACTGATAGAGGCAGGCAAGGCAAAATGAGTCACCATTTACCCTGGACAGATAAAGCAGTTGGTGAGGGGCCACCCATGCATAACTACACAACTGTGATCTAACACACACACAAACACACACTGTCACAAAGGCACACCCATGGATATCTGCCTACAACCACAGCCACATCTCCCTGTTTACCCCTCTAGAGGGAGGAGCACCTCACCCCTCAGTCTAGACTCTTGAGTTTGGCCCAGCTATGGTGCTTTCTCCAGGCTCAGTGGCCCTGACCCCACTGCAGCCCTGGAGTGACTCATTTGTGAAGGCCTTCCAGAATGTTTTCCCCTACTCTGCCCTGGTTCTGTGAACAGCACTGGGGGGATCCCTGAGTATGCAGTGCTGGATAAAGAAGCAGACAAGTACTGCTCTGCTGCAGGGACCCACGCTTGTCACCCTGGAAGATTTAGGAGACCAAAGACAGGGACAGGACAGTGAAGAGTGGCTATCAAGAGCCATCCTACCAAGCTCCCCTTCACAGTGGCCTTAGAGAGCCTCACTATGAATGAATGACACAGGCACACACTGTTATGGGATCATATAAGTGGACCTGAAGAAGGACCACAAGGACCTCAGCATAACCAGGTCCTAGTGGCGATGCCCCTAAAGCTACACAGGCGAGTGGGAGACCATGAGTATGATATTGGGCATGTCCTGTGCGTCACCCTCAGCCCCGGCCACATGTACCAACCCTAGGAGAACCATAAGCGCTCAGTCAATCCTGACCACGTCTGCCCTAGGAGAACCATAACCACCTGTCCCAGTCAGCAATCCAGTCTCACACCTGGGTGGGCAAAGTGGGGATTCCAGAGAGGACAACCCCTGTTCCAGCCCACAGCCTCCATAAGGACCTGCATCTGGGCTGTGGTTCTGGGTGGTACCCATGTTCAGAGATGGCAGGAGAAAGACTGTGTCACTCTCATCTTGACTTCTCCTGCACTCACCACTGCACGATAATTGAGAGGGCCTTGCTAAATATTAAACAGTCTTGGATTTGGGGCTCAGCAGTGCCCATCCAGACATGGTCTTACTCAGACAAAGCTTATGTTTTACTGGGTGACTTCACACAGTGAAAAGCCAGCACAGAAGCTGAGTGTATGAATCTGGCAATCAGGAATGAGGACGAAAGGAATATTTGTTATTTGGAGAAAGTGTGTGGGAGGATGATGGGGATCTTATCTTCTCTACGTGGATCAGGGAAGGCCTTATTGAGTAAAGGCCATGTGAGTAGAGGCTGTAGAGCTGGGAAACTGGGCACCCAGAGAGCTACAGAGAGCAGTCCAGGCAAAGAGCAGAGCATGCACAAGAGGCAGCAGAGAAGCTACTGGGACTCATCCATGCTGGGCTCCATGGCCTCCATACTGTCACTTCTGCCTCCCTTTCCAACTTGGGTCACAGCTGTCAGCCTGTTTACAAACCCATCCTTCAGAGGCAGATAGATCAGAGAAGGCTCATTCATTGGTTCCATCAGCAACCATGAATTGCACACACTGACCCATGGGTACCAGTTCTTGAATGTGATAAGGTGCTGCCCTCCTGGAAAATGTCATCTTCAGAGGGACAAGCACATCCAGAAAGTTGATTCCTGTACTCCCATTGGCAACCCAAAGGTAGTGGGATGAGGTAAAACTCCCTGTCCTGGACACAGGTTCCTCTTGAATTCCTGGGTTCACCTTTCTTTCTCATGGACATGCCATTTTTAAGTCTTCAAACAAGTTCAAGGGTACTCCTTAGGCTGGTAGTCCAAGACAGTAGTCCTTCATGTAGGGTTACCTTGATCTGGTTTGGTGCTTATGGGAAACATCATGAAGATAAGATGGGTACAGGCAGAAGGACAAAGTTCATAGAACCAGAAATTTCCCTAAGGGAGGGGGCTCACTGGAGGTTCATTGTCACCTTGTCCCCAGTAGGTCCTTGCCCTTCAACGTCTACTTCCTTCTAGCGATCGTCCTAGATATGCCTGTGTTTGGTGATATCTGTTGTAACCCACCCACAAACAAGGCCCCATGATGAAAAATGGGGCAAGACGTCTTTTTAAAAGAAGTGTTTTTATTTTAGCTGGCCCAGTGACACACTGCAGATGTAACTGAGTTAGAATTTTGACTGATTTTTATAGTTCATTTATGATTAGCTCATTGATCATTAAGTACATAGTGATGAGAAACAAAAACAAGGTAAGCCTTTGTTTCCCTTTGCTTGAGGTCAGAGGCAATTCACAGTGGATGGTTAGCCAATTCATAGCCCTTGGTCTGCCAATTCCAGGAACATTTGTCTCTCATAAAAGGAATAATGGTTGACGCAGCATCATTTGTCTCTTACAAGGGGAACAAAGGTTGACATAGCACACAGGTTACTTGGGTGGGAGGGCGACACATAGAGAACAACATAACAACGTGATCAGTTAATCTATAACTATGTGGTTGGTGCTTGGTTACTAGGGTAACGAGCTCAGTACAGAATAACAATACTGCTAATAATTATCCTTTTAACTAAATATTTTTGCTATTTATCTTTTAATCAATTATTTTAATTTTTTAGCATCTTAGTATAACAATATCCTCTGGGTGAACAGGCCTCAAAGAGCCTCCAGATAAATGTGGAGTTAGTCTGATTGTGAGAACTGTTGACATCTATCACCCATCAAGGTCCTGTCCAGTGACACAGCCTCTCCGGTGGTTGGGCAGGACCTTCTGACCAATTAGACCTCTATCACTCTCCACATAGTCATTGGAATATGCTTTCTAAATTTTCAAATCTTTTCCTTATATATGATCCTCATATGCCCAAAGAGAATCAATTCAATACAGAACCCTTGAAGTATGACTGTGTCAGCGTTGGGTAAGTACCTACCAAGTAACCTTAGGTCTGAGCCCCCTGATTCCCTCCCTAAGGTATTTCATCCCACCAGAAGTGTGGCGTTGCTTTTGGGTCACCAGTTTTACAGATGAAGGAAGTTTCATGACTTTTCCATGAACTTGACTCCCCAAAATGTTCACATTCACTGGGCATTGAGAGCCAGTGCGTGATTATTTCAGTTCCTTGGTTTATCTACTTGGCTATGTGTGATTTAGTTGAGGAGCTAACTGTGCAGAGCTTCAGGGATGCATGTGTCTCCCTGTGAGTTACAGCTGAGTCAACACTGCACTGTGTATTGATCTCTACAATTCTCTACTCTGAATTTGGGGACCAAATCAGAGTACCACATTAGGCTTCTGAGGTAGATGTCCATTGTGAAGAGTTTCCAAGATTTTCTTGCTTTATGTTACACCCTTCCTCCTGCAGAATCAGCCTGGTAAGTGTCTTTGTGTTTTTTAGAGGACAATAGAAGTTTTGTGCTGTAAATTCTTAATAGCATATCAGTGTCTTTCCTTCATTCTTTCTCAAAGGAACCTGGACTCCTTTTCATTCCTAAGAGTTACTCACAATTGGAAGTTCAGTGAGGATTTGTGAGAACTCATTTTTAGGTTATTTAGTCTTTATTTATTAGTTAGGATTCATCTTCTTATAAAGATAAAGGAAAATCAGACTCTCCAAATAGGGTAAGCAAGGGTGAACTTGACAAGATGTGATTACTTCAAGAGTGACCGGAGCCGCGGGAGACAGGAGACCAAACTCGAGCAGGATCAGCTCTCAAACTTTATTGCGTACAGCGAACCGGACCTAACAAGGTCCGCCACCCTCAACGTTGGTTCCTCTTCTGCCCGTTGGGGGCAGGAACAACCTCTTATAAGGGGAAGCAGTATCCAATCACAGAGAAGCGCGTCTAACAAGCTGATAGGCTAGCGTCACGGGTAACTGGGCAGACATGACAATTTGGCGGGCTTGTTCAGGCCGGGAAGAACCCGGAAGCAGGAAATGGGCGCCATTCATAGGCGGCTTCCCACATCTCCCCCTTTTTTATTTATTAAAATAGGATGGTCTGTGGGTCCCTCCAAGGTGTCTATGACCTTGTTGCTGTTAGACACCTAGGAGTGGGCCTACCTTGTAGGCCGAGGCATGAGAGAATGTAGAGGTCTATACCCTGCTGTGCATCACCCTGTTTTGTGCATATCCTTGCGCCAGGACCATGCTCAAGGTGAGTGGTTCATTTTTTCGCAGGGCCAGGCTTTTGTGAACCGAACCTGGATGCATATAGACATTCATTCCTGCCTTCCCCCCAACCTTTGGGGCGGATGGCACTGCAGTACCCTTGGTCTCGCATCTCAATGCCAATAATTTGATTCCAGAATGGACCCCTGGCCTTATAGGCCATGTATATCTGAGTGGAGCCTGTCTTAGGTTGACCGGGAGGGCTTTTCCCGTCTTACCTGTCATTGGCTTGCCCACTCAGCTCTTATAGCTGATGTTCTGCAATGTGAAGGAGATATGCGGCGGCCTGCTGGCCTGATGGGCCACCTGCTGCCATTTGCATGGCTGCCATAGCTGTGATCTTAACCTGCTGCTGAGTTTGTATGAGGTGATCTAACAAGCATTTAATAACCACAAGCCCCACTAGGAAGGCCACGGCAATCAGGATCCAAGTAGTCAGGTTGGGCCAGGAGATATGAGGGACAAATTGTGAAACTTAGGTAGGTAGGTGTCTTGCAGCCAAGCTGTCATATTTTTAACAGTGTTGGTCAAATTTGTGCAAACAGGGGTGATTAATAGGAACCCACAGAATAGAAAAGGCTCCAAACCAGACATTTTAGTTTGTAGATGGTCTCGGGCGCTGAGCGTCAGTCCCAGAAGGGTCGAGTTGACTTGTGTCCGCGGACTTATCCTCCTGTGCTTTATCAGGAACTGGTGGGGAGTTTACTGCTCGCATCAATCTTTCCGGGACCCACAGCGGTTCGCAGCCTGGTTCCTGTGGGAAAACACAAACCACACCTCGGGTCCAGCTAACCACTGGATCCGGGCCCATCCATTGTCCTGTAAGGACATCTTTCCATCTAACCAGCCCTTTGTCGGTTGGGGACAGATTGCTATGTTCCATGGCAGGGGAATGATTATGGTAAAGAGTGCCAATGATATTCTTCCTTTGGGCGTTAGGTCATGGCCTATTCCCTCCTTTTGTTTTTGTAAGACACCCTTGAGTGTCCGATGTGCCCGTTCAATGATGCCTTGTCCTTGAGGGTTATATGGAATGCCATGCTTAAGGACAACATCCATTTGTTGACAGAATGTTACAAAAGTTTTGCTGGTGTAAGCAGGACCATTGTCTGTTTTTAATATATTGGGCTTTCCCCAAGCAGCCCAGGCTGCAAGACAATGATTAATAGCGTGGGTGGCCCTTTCTCCAGGTTCTGCCGAAGCAAATATAACCTGGGAGGCGGTATCTACCGAAACATGAACGTATTTAAGTTTTCCGAATTCTGGGATGTGTGTAACATCCATTTGCCAAATATGATTTGGGCGAAGTCCTCTTGGGTTAATGCCAATAGATTGTTGGGGTGAAGAGATCACACAAGCTGGGCAATACCGTCGTGCTTGTGCTCTCGTGATGTTGAAGCGCGCCATGAGGGTGCAGGCATTAACATGGAACTGAGAATGGAATTTTTGGGCTGCTTCCAGAGGGTTGGGAAAGGTGAAGACCCATATCGGGCGCGTGGCCGAGTCTGCCAAGGCATTGCCCTCCACCAAGGGCCCAGGTAAATTAGTATGGGCTCTGATATGTGAGATGAACACTTTTGAGGTTCTATTCCATAGCTGATGTTGAATACCTAGGAATATGGAGGCTACCGTTGAAGAGGGTTTAATGGGACCCGCCGTCTCCAGAACTTGGAGAGCATTTACCACATACTTGGAGTCTGACAGGAGGTTAACGTCGCCTGGGAAGCAACGTAAGACTTCCTGTATTATCTGGAGCTCGACCACCTGGGGTTGGTATGAGAGGGTGAGCCGCCTCAGCATCTGGAAAAATCCTGTTAGCGGCCTCAAGCATGCGGGCCACAAAGTCTGAAAATGGCTCTCCCTGCCCTTGTATAATTTTTGTAAGGTGACCCGTATGTTCTCCCTTTCCAGAGAGCCGTCTCCAGGCCTGGAGGCCACAGTGACTAATTTGTTCATAAACCTGGCGAGGGTATTGAGTTTGATCTTTCTCAAAGGCTCCTCGCCCTAATAGCATATCCCTGTTCCACTCTCTCTGGTTATTCTCCCTGTTGGCTGCCGCCTGCTCTACACAGAATTCCTCATTCCAGGACTTCCAATCTAAATATTGTCCGGGGGAGAGGCAGGTGCGTGCCAGCTGGGTCCAATCTCCAGGAGTTAAATACAGGCCAGCCAATGCCTCTAAAAGCGCCATGGTAAATGGCGCATTGGGCCCATAAGCTGAAACTGCGTCCTTGATAGTTTTAAGTTGTTTAATTTCTAAGGGCTCATAATATCCTCCTCCTCCCCTGCCTCCTACTTGTACCGGGAATGCATGGAGACTGGAACACTCAAAAGGAAGCCGCGACCATACCCTCTGGTGGAAGGAATGTGAACTTGCCAAAGGGCGGAAGGGCTTAAGCTCCTCCCGTAAGGCGGAGTAGCTCGAGCAGGGTGGTGTTTGGTTCCCCTTTTTATCTTCCCGAGCCCTGAATTCCTCTTTAAGCTGTGCAGGAGGGTCCTGTTTAGCGAAGACAACCTCCTCTTCTGAACCTTCCGAATCAGAATTAGAGCCCTGAGGGTCCTCCGGAGACCCACAATCGGCAGTGGCTCCAGGCTCCTCTGAGCATTCCGATCGAGCTCTATCAAAAGCCTGTCGGGCTGTATTAGCGAAGCAAAAGCAAAACAGATGCAAAGGGAAAAGAAAAGAAAAAAAAACCGGTGTCCACTCGTGTGGCGCTCAAAATCTGTTAGGTGCGTCCACCCAACCCAGTTGACCCAGTACTCACCTGTCCCGGGAACCGCTGTATCTCACGTAGCTGATCAGGGTGAAGAGAAGAGGCGCTCGCGGCCTTCCGTTGTTATTGGGCCAGGTCCTCCGTCGTACCGCAGGTGACAGCAATCGCACCTCCCGGCCGAAGAGGCACGTCGCTGAGTCTTTTACCTTTTTCCCCGTACGGGCGGCCACCAGATGACCGGAGCCGCGGGAGACAGGAGACCAAACTCGAGCAGGATCAGCTCTCAAACTTTATTGCGTACAGCGAACCGGACCTAACAAGGTCCGCCACCCTCAACGTTGGTTCCTCTTCTGCCCGTTGGGGGCAGGAACAACCTCTTATAAGGGGAAGCAGTATCCAATCACAGAGAAGCGCGTCTAACAAGCTGATAGGCTAGCGTCACGGGTAACTGGGCAGACATGACAATTTGGCGGGCTTGTTCAGGCCGGGAAGAACCCGGAAGCAGGAAATGGGCGCCATTCATAGGCGGCTTCCCACACAAGAGAAAAAGTGAGTAAAGTCTAGAACTTGACCTGCTTCCATCCATCTTCCAGGACAATGTGATGCCCTATTTTGGGCACAAGACCTTCTGATTTAGAACATACATCTGCACATCCTGGGGACTTCTCGGCTCTATCCCTGCTTTATCTGAAAGGTCATAGTATCCAGGAAAGTCTTTACAAGCTTATAACAAGCTGCCTTATTAATTATGAAACTGTGCTCTAGGTGTTTGGGAAACAGAATGTAGGACAGCCTCATACCACACTTTTTGTTTCTTCTCTTCAAGGATCTGAACTCCTCTTTCAGTTCTCTGTTCCTACTATCACTGGGGAATACAGTTTGGACAGTTGCTGCTCATCTAGATCTGGCAGCAGGGGCAAAAGAAGGCAAATCTGCTGACCCGTGGTATTATGGTTCGTGTCTGGATGTCCCCCTCAAGCCTCATGCAGTCATGGGGTCAGGCTTCTAGAATTTGTGATTAATTCATGGTCCAATGATGAGATTATGGGTGTGAGGGCTACACCCACAACATACAACATAAGTGACAGAGTCTTCTTTCCATGCTCCTCCCTTTTCGCGGCTGTTGATTTTTCTGTCTTCTGCTGCCATGAACTATTGTCCCTCTGCCTTCAAGTAAAGTGATTATGGACTGAAACCTCCACAAAACTGTAAGCTAAATAAACCTTTCCTTGCTTAATTTTGGGTGTCAGGTGCTTTGATCCAGCAACAAGAGAAAAGTAACCAACACACTCGGGTATGCACTTTGTCTAGAGACCTAGCACCAAGACAGGACATGAAGGAAGGTGTGAGGGTCACATTGTTAACTTGACCAGTTGTATGAAGTTAGACAAAGAGCTTAAGACCTGGGTTAGATCACTCTGTGATTAGGTAAGCCAAAGAATGGAAGAACAGAGGCTCACTTTGGTCACCAGTGACACCAGAGAAAATGGACAGCACCAACCCTCACTCTCTGCACTATCCTGACAACAGGCAATGACATATCTCCAAGGGTGGGGAGACCTCTCCAAGGAGGTTCTGCTCCAACTAGGTTCTGCTGTGTGTGCATGTGTATGAATGTAAGTCCGGTGGTTATGGGCTAGATGGATGGGTAGATTTCCCAATCAATAAGCCCTGGATGTGCCCTGTCATGGGAGTGAAAGAAACCAATGTCATGAGGCTCAGGATCATCTGTAACAGTCCAGATAGCTTCTCTCCCTGAACTTCCTGCACCCTGCCCAGCTCAAGCACCACACTTAACATAGATGGACCAGGAAGCAGAAAGAGATGGAACAGCTTCCCTAATTCTGTGGAGATGCAGGCACCAGACTATCTATGAGGAGGCTCTCATTTCTCTGCTTCTGGGTCTGGTGCTGATGCAGAAGAAATCTCTGGTGCAGAAATGACCCCAAGTTTACAAGCCTTCAGCTTTGCTCTTCCCTGAAGTCCCAGGTGAGCAGGAATAGCCCTACACAGGGAAAGTTCTGTCTCAAGTGGGAGAGGACAACACGGAATAGGAAGAGGGGGAAGGAGTGTTGATAGAGGTAAGCGACTTGAGGAGCGAAGAGGGAGGAGGAGAGGCCAAGAGTGGTCAGCACTTGCTTCTCCGTGGCCACCAGATTGAAGTGAACAGTGCAGGGGAACTGAGGCTCCTGCACCCTGGACAGAATCAATGCTGAATGACAAGGGAGCTTGTGATGCTCACAGCCATAATCATATAATCCAGTGTACTAGTCTAACACACACATAAGCACACATTCTCACAAAAATTCACCTACTCACCCATGCATAACCAGGAACACACATGCATAGACACACACACAGTCACACAAACACACAGGTACATACAGTGTTTCTCCATCCTTGGCCCATCTTATCTCCATGGACACCCATCTCTCTGTCCTTCCCTCCGGAGGAGGGAGCTCCTCATCCCTCAGTCCCAACTCCTGGGTCTGGCAAGGCTGACCTCCCTCCACTTCCTCCCACAGACCAAGGACTCTGTGGACCTGGCTCCACCCACCTGTGAAGGTCTAGAATGGGAGTTTGTGTTTTCTGGGCTGTTTTCCTCGAGAGGCCCCAGTGCCATGACATGCACCATGGACATTGCTTTACTGTGCAATGTCTTTATGAGGAGAAATTCAAGGCAAATAATTAATACTGGTGAGAAAATGACTTGTGCTACATGAGCAATGTGTCAGCACTGTGGAGTCCAAAGATTTCAGTGAGGAAGAAGAGTGGCTATGGGTCCATCAGACCATTCTGCCAACCTAAGCTTCACAATGATCTTGGAGAACCTCACCCTGCAGGATGCAGGCTTTTACCACTCTTCGGTCAAAAACTATGACTCCAGGATCTTACCTTCCATGCTACAAAGCGAGCACCCCTCATAACAGCTCCAGGATTGGGTAAATCTAGGCCTGGTCCTTCCATCCCTAACGAAAGAAGTGGGCTTGGTAAGTCAGTGACTCAGGACACAGTGTGTAGGAATGAGTGTTCTCTTACCAGTGTGAGAGCTCGTGTGTATGTCTGTCTGTGAGTGCAAGCATTTGTGTGTGCATGCATGCACTGACATATGACTCTGTGTGTGTATACATATACAAAGCCACAGTACAGGGCCTGTGTTCCTCCAGACCCTCTGCACACCTGCCTTGGACAACCTCAGGCCTGAATGTTTCCAGGTGTACACAGAACTGGTCCTGAGTCCAAGGCTTTTCGCTCACTGACTCTCCAGGATGGTCATGCTCTCTCTAAAAGAGGATCACGGGTCTCACCTGGATCTACCCGAACCCTCCCCTCGGGAACAAGATCCTTAGGGCATTTCCTATCCTCTTTCACTCTCCTCTGATCTTTGTCTAAGCAGACAGCTTTCTGTTGTTGAAGGTTCTAAGACACTAGAGTCACTGTTGGGGTTTCAGGTGTCAAAGTGGCTACCATAGAGGCAAAAGCTGAAGCCTAGGCTCCCAGGTGGGGCTTCGTGTCCCCTCAGGCAACCCCACTTAGTGCCTTCAAGCTGAGCTGTCTCTAACTTTTCTCTGGCACTTGTTTTTATAAACACAGATGGGAACCCAAAGAATCCCCTGAAAGGGACTCCCCTTGGGTAGAGGGGCAGTGGGACAGAGATGGACTCTCACTGTGAAGGACCCCAGTGCTCTATCAGACAATGACCTGGCATTATAGTTTATTAGTGAAGAAACAGAAAAGAGTTTTATTCTTATTGAGTTTACATTCCAACAGTCAGAAAGAAACAGTTAACAAGTGCAAAACTACACATGCCTGTAGAGGAGGAGACATAAAAGGGATGACGAGTGTATACAGTAAGACAGAGGTGATGTCTCCTGTGGAAGTGAGGGTGACTATTACCAGATCCTGCCCACAGGGTAACTTGCACGTGAGGATGAGCTTGACAAGATGTGACTGACTGGTGAAAGGCGGTGAGTAGGTCTGGGCCTTGACCTTCTCCATCCACCTTCCAAGGCACTGTGATGCTAAGTCCTGCAGTCTTATGGGAATTAGACCATCCCGCTCAGAACACACGTGCATCTGCATGCGCTGGGGGCTTCCTGTGTCCTCCATGCTCTATCTTAAAAGCTTGGCTTGTGCTTATTTCCCAGTCAGAGTCTGTCCTTTCTTTCTTGTGACCCTATTCATGGAGCTACTGTCACTGTATATGAGATTTCATATTCCTCTCTTGTCCTGTTGCTGCACTCAACTCCCCAGTGAGAAGACTCGGATGGAAAGTATCAGGAGTTACAGCAGCCACTTGACCTACTGTGCAAAGCCAAAGGAAGAGCTGCGGACAGAGGGGGTCAGACAATTTCTATAGGAGCCTACGTTGAAGTATGGGAGAATCGAGTCTCTGTGGCACCATTAGAGCTAGAGAAAATAGAGAGCTCCGGCCCCACCCCATGACTGTCCATCCTGACAATGAGGAACTGAGGTGTCTCCAATTTTGAGAAAATCTACCAAGGGGGGAATGCCCTGCTATCCAGGTACACGTGTGAGACTATAATTCTGGAAACTAGGGGAAGGAGACAGAGCCCTCATACACAGGCACTGGATATGTCCAGCCCCTGAGAGTGAGAGGAGCCAATGTTACCAATGTCCAGGTCTTCTGTACCAGCCTGTGACTTCTCTCCCTGGGCATCTTGCATCCTGGTCAACTGAGCATCACACCCAAGATAGATGGACCAGGAAACAGGGAGGGCAGGGAAATAGAAGCATGGATGTAGCCATTGGCTTCTCTGTGAGGGGTACCCATTTTGTCTCCTCCTGGCCCTGGTTTATGACTTCTGTGCTTGAGAAATGACTCATGGCATGTGGTACGTGGCTGCCTTCAGCTCTGCTCCTCTTGCAGATCCCAGGCAAGTAGTGCTGGCCTTGGCCAAGGGAAGCTGTGTCCTGAGTGGGAGAGGGCAGGACTGGGACAAGAGGTGGAGAGGAAGCAGCTGATAGAAGCGAATGGGGAAAAGAGAGGCAAGAGGGCAGAGGAGTGGCCAAGACTGGCCACCAGGCTGCAGTGTAGCTCAGGGAAACTGAGGCTCCTACACCCTAGACAGAGCAGTGCTCAGTGAGGGGACTCCTGTGAGTCACTGCCATAATCACACAATCCGAGTGACATCTTGGTTCAATACACCCCGCACAAATGTATGTTCTCACACAGACATACACAGATTATACACAGTGACACACACGCCTGTGCACATGCACACAACCACACAAACACATGCACAGTACACACAGTGTTTTCCCACTTGCTCTATCCCATCTCGTGGACACCCCCCCCCATGTTCCCACCTCAGGAGGAGGGTGTTCCTCATCCTCACTCCCCACTCCTGGGACTGACAAGGCTGGTCTCTCTGCACTGCCCCCTCCACACATGGAGGCCTCGAGGACCTGATCCCCGAGTGCCCCAATCCCACCCAGCTGTGAGGGTCCAGAATGGGCCTGTGTTTTCCAGGCTGTTTTCTTCTTCGTGCCCCAGCACTGTGACACTGTGAGGGATCCCTGAGCATGCAGTGTCAGTATGAGGAGGACGGCAGGACAAATGTCCAGTGCTGGTGTCTGGGAGCCCTCTTGGCACTCTGCACTAAGAAGTGAAGAGTGATAGAGTGTCCAGCAGGGCCCATCCTGCCAATCTCACATTCATGATGACCTTGGAGAGCCTCACCCTGCAGAACACAGGCTCTTACCAGTGTGGGGTCCATATATCATGGCCTGAAGGATTTGATAACTCTGGTCTTATCCTTGCTCCCAGGTAGGCAATCTTTGGGCCAGCCCCAGAGTTGCCTGAACTCTAGTTTAAAATTAATGAGAAACCATGCACTCTGGTTGGTAATTGGATTCAGGCGTCTGCTTACTAAATCCTGACCTTGTCTTGTTGTACAGGATGAGATTTTAATGGACTCCCCATTGGTTTCAGTTCCAAGGCACCACAATGGACTTACCAACATCAAAGATTATGAATTTTACTATTCTAACAATTCCTGCAGTTCCGGGTGGCCCAATCCCAGATCTGCTCACCCATGTATTTAAGTGGTACCCACTTATTGAGAGCTCACCCTCCACCAAAGACAGACCATGGAGTTTGCAGTGAATAAACACACTGAGGTCTGTGCTCCCATTGATCACACCATCTGCTGTGCAGATAGAAATAATGAGCAAAAGACACATGCAGCATCATGAAAAAGCCTGAAGGTCAGAAGTGGAGTCATTTCATGTACTTAAAATAAGGTAAAATGAGGGGTCACTAGGCCATATTTAACCTGGGACTAGAATGAATGGATTAGCAATGGATGAGGAGCACATTAGTGCAGGGATTAGCAAAGCTCCAGCTCAGGGACACAAAGAGCAAATGTCCATCTACAGGAGCTGTCAGACATCAGTCTAGCCAACAGGCGTTCTAGATGTTTCTCTGGATCAGGTGGATCCTTGGGCTCTGGGAATATCTTGTTGCCTTTCTCTCAATTAGCATTGGCTACTAGAGTCCTCTGAAGGTTAGAGGACTGAGAGATTAAGTCCTCCGTCATTCTCCCAACCTCCCTGCACCATGGCGAGGGCTGCTCCACTTTTAGATCTGGAGTAGGAGGCATGGTCGAGAAGCTGCTGCCTGGGTGACCTGTGTCCCGGCTGCAGACTCAGCATGAGAGTTCAATATCGTAGAAAATGTAAGGCTCACATTGCCACTGAACATGTTGTGTGAAGGCAGAAGAATCTGGTGTCCCTTGTGGGATTTAGGCTGAACCTTGACAGAACACGGTGCCTCTGTGGTCCCTGCAGGAGGTAGAGAAGTAAACAGCTCTGGTTCCCACATCCGGAAGAGGCCATCCTAACAAGGAAGTGACTCACAGAAGGCGGGGACCCCCGCCAAGGGGAAAACACTTTAGATGAGTTCTGCTGTGCATGCGGACACTCACATGTGTCTGTGTTAGGCAACCAGCTGTGGGCAGTTTTTTATTCATGGGCCTGGAATGTGCCCAACTACTGAGAATGAGAGCAGCCAAATGTCACTGAGGCTCAGGGACATGAGCACCAGTGTAGGCAGCTTCTCTCCCTGAGTTACTTCACCCTGCGCATCATCCGAAAAGCATAGACCAGGAAGTAGAGAGAGGCAGGAGACCAGAAGTGGGGACACAGTCATCAATCTCTGTGAGGAGGCCCGATCTGTCTCCTTCTGGGTGTGGGACTGGTGCAGCTGACCTCAATGCTAAGAAATGTCCCCAGGACACTTGGCCTTGTGGCTGCCCTCAGCTCTGCTTCTCCTGCAGGTCCCAGGTGAGTAAAGGAGAGGGGCAGGAGGAGGATGGTGGGGAGGGCAGGGCAATGGCCAGGAGCGGCCAGCACTTGTCATGCAGGCACACCCACACATCCGTGGACACACATACACGCAGGTGTGTGAATACACATAGCCTCACACATGTACATACAGTGTTTTCCTGCTTGGCCCTGTGCATCTCCATAGAAACCCGTCTCCCTGTTCCCACATCTAGAAGAGGGAGCTCCTCCTCCCTGTTGTGACTGCTGGGTCTGGCATAACTGGTCTCCCTGGATGTCCCCTCTAGACCTGACAGCCCCAAGGACCTAACTCCAAGGATACCCTGGCCCCAGCCATTTCTGAAATCCAGAACTGGGGCTTGTGTTTTCCAGGCTGTCTTCTCCTGACCGGCCCCCGCACTGTGAACGGCACTGTGGGGGGATCCCTGAGCGTGCAGTGCCAGTATGAGGAGCGATACGAGAAACATGGCAAGTACTGGTTCAGAGACTCAGTTCTGCTATATGGTAAGATTGTGGAGACTACAGCTTCAAGCAGAGAAGCAAGGAAGGGCCGAGTGACCATCAGGGACCATCCAGCCAACCTCAGCTTCACGGTGACCTTGGAGAACCTCACCCTGCAGGATGCAGGCTCCTACTGGTGTGGGATTAATGTACCATGGCGACAGGATCCGGACTTCGAGCTTAAGGTGTCTGTGCTCCCAGGTGAGCCCCTTCCCCTCAGAGTCAGAGCTGCCTGTGCCTATGCCTCGTCACTCCCTCCCTGAAATGATACTGGAGCAGGAGAGGTTGAGTTCTCTCTCTCTCTCTCTCTCTCTCTCTCTCTCTCTCTCTCTCTCTCTCTCTCTCTCTGTTTCTCTCTCTCTCTCTCTCTCTCTCTCTCTCTCTCTCTCTCTCTCTCTCTCTCTCTCTCTCTCTCTCTCTCTCTCTCTCTCTCTCTCTGTGTGTGTGTGTGTGTGTGTGTGTGTGTGGTTGTGAGTTCAATCCCTGGTACCAAAAAAAATCTTCTCAGACATATACTTGTGTACACACACACACACAGCCCCATGGGAGCACTGGCATTATTTGAGATCCCCAATGGGCCCCAGCCTGAGAGCCTCAGGCCTGAATCCTTGTTGGGTATGGGGTGGGGCCACTCCTGAGACCAAGTCTCTTTGCTGACTGATTGTTCTATTCAGGATTTTATCCTTTCTGAATGGACCTGACTCTTTGACCCTATTGGAAAGGTACCCATAGGGAATTTGCTCCCTGCTGTCACAGCTGGAAGGTTCTGAGACATCAGTCTCACTGTTGGGGTCCTCAGGGCTTCTAAGTGGTCATCAGAGGGACCCAGGCAGGAGCTCAGATTCCTGTGTGTAACTTCCTCTCTCTTTGGGAGATCAGACCCAGTCCTCCCAGGTTGATCTGTCTCCCCATTCTGGGCACGTTTGCTAGGCTCTCACTACTATGGAACCCAGTGCTCCTCGGCATCTACAGATCATTCATCCTCTGCAGAACCTCCCTTGCTTCACGGGAACCAAATCCACTACCCCTCTTCAAGAGCTGGCGGAATGCCTAGGGTTAAAATTCTGAGGTTGTCTCTAGCTCATTTTCTCTTCTTGGTTTGAGTTTCCCCACATGCAGATTTCCTTCCTCAGTTCTTTGTGGGTTCATACTGAAGTGTGAGAAACTATTGGTGTTGCTGAGTGTCTGAAAGACATATCACTGTCCATCTGGTCTTGGGTCAGGGCACTTTCCATGGGGTATACCAGATGTCTATCTCCCTAGATCTTTCTTCCTGGTTATTCCTTCCCTAAGGAGGACTGTCCGGTGGGCTGTTTGATCCCATGGGCCTGGATGTTGGTCATGAATGCCCCTACCATCTCTGTTCATGTGAAGCCTCACTCAGCCATCAGCCCTGCCCTGGGAACCTGTCTTTTCCCATTTCTCTCTATCAATCTCTGCTTAGTAGACTGGGACAGAGAGAGGGGCATGGATCCTTCAGTAGACTGAGCAGAGTAGTCACTGCATTTGTCCCCAGGAAGGATGAATTAGAGCTGGTATCAAGTACCTGTGCTGATGCTCAAATCCCCTGCTTAACAAGCCACTTCTCATATCGGCCAGTGTCACGTGGCCACGGTGCACTTTTTGATGGAATGACAATAACAGCTCTGATCAGACCTAGCTATAGCCATAAGACCTGTTTGGTAAGAACATGCGTCCAGCAGGCCCAGAGGCCACACAGGTGAGTGGGAGAACCTGGGATATCATTGGAATTGACCTGTGTTTCACTCTCAGCCCCAAACTCTCACCTTAACGTTGTCACAAGCACCAAGGGAACTCCCCTGTTTTTGTCTGTGCACACTTGGCCCAGCTCCACCAGAGGGGATACCTCCAGTCCCAGCCCACAGCCTCGGTAAGTACCTGCATCTGGACTGTGTGCCTGGGCCAAGAGAAGCGAAGTAGAGGGAAACAGGTGTCACTTGAGTTGGGAAAATATGTGGAGGGTTCTGGGGGCTGTATCTTCCACATGACCATCAGGGGAGACTTGCTCTTTAGAAGCCACATGAGTGAGGGCAGCAAGGTTGGAGGGATCAGGCACCCCGGGGTCTGTAGTGAGTGACTCAGGCAGAGGGGAGATCAAGTGCAAATGTCCTGCTCACCAGGACCTGGCCAGACTTGGAGGAGCAGGCACTTTGGGCTCTGTGGACTTGGAACTCTTCCCTCTTCCTCCTTCCTCACCCATACCTGATCACAAGTGTCCCTTGTTTTAACAAATGCAGTCTTCTAAGTAGGTGACTTAGTTGAGCCATTCAGTCATTCCATCCATAGCCATGAATTCTTCAAGCTGATCCTGTGCAGGACCAGTGTGGGCAGCAGTCACTGGCTGTGATGAGACAAGGCCCACCTCTCTGGAAGCAAGTGTAAAGCTAGCAGCCACAGTTTGACTCCTGTTCTCTATCTGGGAAGCCCCTAACTGTGAAGGAACATGGTAGAAATCCTGCTCATGAATACAGTTCCCTCCTATGGCCCTGGACTCCCATCACCTCCTTCTCATGGTCCTGCCCTTTCTATGTCAAAGGCTACTCCCTAAGCTGTTAGTCAGGGACATGGGTCCTTCAGGTAGAGCTACCTTGTCCAGGATACAGCACCAGAGCACAAAGAACAGCAGTAAGATTCCAGGCACCAGGGCCCCCTCCAGTGAAGACGCTCATTGCCATTGTGTTCCCTGTAGGTGTCTGTTCAGCAGCATTCACTTCCTGCTCCTGGTCTTCCTGAAGGTGCCCCTGTTCCTAAGCATGCTCAGTGCCATCCTTTGGGTGAACAGGCCTCAGAGAGGCTCTGCACGGAGGCCGAGTCATCCTGAGTACGAGAACCAGTGACATTCCTTGTCCCTCGAGACTCCCTGTCCAGAGACGCAACTCCTCTGATGGATGGCAATGACCAGTGGACCTTCCGTTACTCTCCATATTCATATTAGAAGAACCTTTGTGCTCTTCTTTAAAATCTTCCCTTGTTCACCATCCTCATATAGCAAAAGCGTTTCTAATTGATATGTCCTCCTTGAAGTACGACTGCGTATCAGCTTTGCGTATGTACCTGCCGGCTTAACTTTGAGTCACTGCCACGACCTCTAGGACCCTGGAAGCTTTCAATTCCACCCACCATGTGGTCTTGCTTCTGTTTCACTGTTTGAACATGGCCAGTGTGTGATTCTTGCAGTCACTGTATTTGTCTACTCAGCGATGCACTTGTTACTTCATGAAATAATGCAAGAGCATCAGTGATTCACTGGGCCTGAGTCAGACCTGAGTCAGTTATGATTTCTTTGATCTCCCCAGACCCATGGACCAAGGTACAATACTGGATCCTAGTGTCGGGCCCAGAACACTTTCCAGAATTATTTTGACTTCTAGTCATCCCTGTCTCATTCAGAATCACCCTTAAAAATATCTTCAGGTTTCTTTGGAGAAGGATGGTAGAAAATCAGGTCATAAATTCTCAGTGGCATAGCTCTATTCCTTCTTCAAGGGGATCGGAACATCTTCTTCATCCAGAACTATGAGTTCTTGGACCAGCTTGGAAGTTTGTTGGTAAGATGTGACATTTATTAGGTGACTAAGTCTCTGTTCACTGTATAGACCTTGTCTGCTTGTGTGGATACAGGAAGTGTTGGTGCAGGGGCACCATGATGAATTTGCCAGCACTACAGACCAACATGTGAAGCACGTGACCCTCACCACTCAACCAGCACCAACACGGGATGGGACACTGGGAGATGTTAGATAGTAGAGCTAATCTGCCATCCTTCTCCAAAGAAGTCTTAAGGGAGCCCAGGACTGACCATCTTTTAAAATTTTTTAACTTCAATTTTTATTAGTACACATTTGCAGCACATGATTGCGTTCCCCATGGGGAGTTGGTATACACACATCCCACATTGTCATGGTTTATGTTTGTGTCCCCCAGGCCTCATGAGTTTGCATTGTTCATATGTGATGGTTCATCGCATAGTGCTTGGATTGATGGTGTCAGTGCTCCACCCACGTAAGGGTGGAGCCAGGATGTGATGTAATGGCAGGAAGAAGGTGTGTTTTTCTCTTTGCTGGTTCGAGTTTGCTGTTGCCGGCTGTCATGAACTGCGTTCCAGCCATGCCCGCCTGTCTTGGAGCCAACTGAGTGTGGACTGAAACCTCCAAAAACTGTAAGAAATAAACCTTTCCTTTCCCAACTTTGGGCTTCAGGTATTTTGTCTCAGCGACAAGCATAAAGTAACTAAGACACACATCTTAATATTTTTACCCTCTCTGCTTTTCCCTCCGCACTTCCTCAGTCTCTTGCAAAAAATCTAGCACTTTCCTTTAGGAAAAGATATATTTCTCTTTAAGCTATTGTTTTATTTTGCTCTTTATTTATATTTTGAGTTTTCCATAGAAGAGAAACCATGCAATATTTCAGCTGTGTGTCTGAACTATACAATACTTTCCTGGTGTCTGATTTATTTCACTAAACATTGTGGTCTCGAGGTGTATTCTTTTTCCTACAAATGACTGAAGCTTATCCTTCTTTATGACGGAGTCGAACTCCATTGCGCATAAATACCACATTTTCTCTATCCGTTCATCTGTTGATGGACAGATAGGCTGCCTCCAAGATTTAGCTATTACAATTGTGCTGCTACACACACAAAACTGAGGATCTTTACCCAGCATTCCCATTCAGCAAATATTTGCTGAGTGTGTACCTTGCTCTGGACCCTGATCAAATGATGAAGCTCTGCAGTAGATAAATAGGAAAGCACTCTGTTTTCATGGAGTTCACAGCCAGAAACAGTTACCAAAGACAAAAATACATGCACAGATAGGAAGAAACATAGAAGAGAGGAAGAGTGCATAGGATAAAACAGAACCAGGAAGTGGTGATCGGTGCAGGGCTGGCAGGGACTAAATCAGTGTGGTTTATAAGCAGGTAAGCTTGACCAGCCATGGTTAATTCTGCAGAGAGTGAGTGGCTTCTGAACCTTGACCTGCCCTGTCAACCTTCTAGGAACTATGGCAAAGGACAATGGTGTCATGTCCCCATCTTCCTGTTTCAGCTTTCACACCTCTGAACTCTGCCCGAACTCTCACTGGGAAGTAGAATTTAACAAGAGGGCAAGACAGGACTGTGAGTTCTCCAGGAGCTGTGATCGCTCCTCCAATGTGACAGCACACATGTGTTATATGTGACTCTGTGCGAGGGGTGCAATCTTCCCTGAGACCTGGGCTGCCCACATGAAGGCCGAGTTGTCTCTGGAAAGAACCCCATGTTTCCCCTGGACATGTCTTCACCCTCTCAGTGGGAACAGGAGCCCTAGGGAATTTCACTCTCTCTGTCAGACTGCCCTGACCCTGGGCCCAAGTGCACATCTCCTTGCTGTGAATGGTTGTGAGACACCAGCTCACTGCAGTGGTCCTCAGAGCTTCTCAGCGGTCATCAGAGGAGTATGAGAAGCCCAGACCTCTGTGGAGCTTCTTCAGGAGACTCCACCCAGCCCCTCCAAGCTGACCTGCCTTCCCCTCTTTCTGCCACCTTCTACCACAGGAGGAAGCTCGGAAAATCCCCTAAGAGACTTCCTCTGGGCAGGGGGACCATCGGGATGGAAACAGGTGTTCACTGCTATCAGCTGCAATGACTGCATTAACTTTTCTGTAAGAGAACCCCCCAGGTTTCTTGGGACCCAAATCCAATGTCTCTATCTATAAATCAAGGTTAATGCCTGGGACTGAAACTCAGGTTTTCTTTAATTTCCCTGAGTTCCTTGATTTCATTACCTCATTGTGGAAATTCCCCTCTCCCAACTTTTGGGGGTTCATACAGAAGAATGAGAAAACAAAATCCCACCAATCTTATGGGATCTATTTAAAGGGCACACTCTACAGGGTCCAATAGGTGGTGTTAGTCTCTCTACATCTTTCTACTTCATCATTCTAGCTTCCTGCTCTTTCCTGGTCATTCTAGCTCCCGTGGAGTTCCCCCAGTTTCAGTTCCACCCTTTTCAAGGAGACATAACAGCTGTCAGTCAAAGAGCCCCGCCTCCCAATCTTCTACCAGACTGTTCCATGACAGCCGTAACTGCCCTGGACACCTGCCCTGATCCAGAAGATATCTACCGGGACCACAGCATCTTGAAAATGAACTAAGTAGCAGAAATAAATTTGTACTAACTAGGAGGCTTGAATCAGAAGGCTTGAGTTTGCTTTAATCTGGATTAATTACAGCTACAAAAGTAGCTCCTCTCTTTAGCTGCTCAGGATGGTCTTGGAAGGCTCCCTCTGACAATGTGACCCTACTTTGCTAGAGCACAGCTCGGCTCAAATAAATCTCAGTCAGGTAATCCTGTAAACCTACTCATTGTTTGTTATTCCGGTAGAGCAAGCTCTGAAGTTCCTATAAATCTACTCTGGAGTCTATGCTGAGTGGTGTGGATAAAACTGTTGCTCTGAAAAAGCACTATAAACACTAGAGGCTATGTGCCCCGGAGACCAGTGACTGATGAAGATCAGTGACAGAGATCAGAAACCAGCAGAGTGGACCAGTGGCATCTGGCCTGAGCCAGCATCAATGGTCCCCTTGTAGACATCCATCCCAGTGGACATCTTGACACATAGGCAAGGTTGGCTGCTTCAACCTGCCCTACTGTGGGTAACCAGTGTGCACCTAAAGCCAGACTGCTTTCAAACAATGCTCAATTTCAGACAAATTTAATTTCAATTGCTAAAGGGAACCTTCAAGCGCTTAGATACAAGGGTAGATCAATTCCTTAGAAGGACCAGTTCCTGATTAACAGTTTAGGATATACAATTATAAAACTACACTGGCAGTGTTAACTGACAGTGTCTGGTATTAACTGGCATTGACCGATGGCATTAGGGCTTAGAAGTATAACTCTCAAGGCTGAGGGGCATTGGCACTCAAAGCCCAAGAGCCCAGTTAAACTTTGCTGACCCATGAGGAATCGAGCAAAGAAATCTTCAACTGGCAATACTTGGTGAACACATAAGGACGTCTCTTTTCTGATGGTCCCAGGAAGAGGGCAGACAGCCGTGATGACTGGTGCTCATAGATGACAGTGGCCACCTGAACCTGTGCTTCACTGCCAGCCATGACTGGTGAAGTCCGGCCCCATGTCCCTGGCTAGATGGCCCTCCTCAATGGAGCAGCACTAACCTACCCCCTTGTGGCTGTCTTCTGTCCTGCATCCATCTCTGTCTCCACCTCCTTTCCCTTTGTCTCATGAAACATTCTTTTTCTGTTTCTTGGTTAAGAATTTCTGATATTTTAAAAGGCTTTTATCTTAGATGCCTAATTACGATAAACTAGCTTTATAGCTGCATTCTAAATTATTAATTAGAAATTGTGTCTTCTAAGGAATTGATCTTCCTTTATATCTAAACACTTGGAGACTCCCTTTAGCGCTTGAAATTAAATTTGCCTGAAATCGAGTGTAGTTCAAGAACAATCTATCTTTAGGTGAACATTAGTTACCTCTAGTAGGACAGGTTAAAACAAGCAACCTCGATCATGTGTCAAGATATCTACTGGGAGGGATGTCTACACGTGGATAGGCAGAATCCACAGGTAGCATCCAAAGTAGGGTGGTTTTGGGCTGGCGATTTAGCTCAGCGGCATAAGCGCCTGCCTTGCAAGCAGGCAGTTGTGAGTTGGATCCCTGGTACCGATAAAAAGGAAAAAGACAAAAACAAAACAAAACAAAAAACAAAGTAGGGTGGTTTGGTGGAATTAATCAAATATCAGACTGGGTGCACCTCTTTGGCCCTTGAGACAGTGGTTCCAACATTTGGTTTGGTGCACGTAATTCAGATTATTGGGTGTGTTGGCTGGTTCAGAGGAGCACTGATTCTTTTCCTGCTGGAAACAGATTTTTCTGGAAGGGAGTCTAAGTTCTTCAGACTGCCCTGTATTTGATTTATACTACTGTCTGCTTGGTATTGCTATTGTGTCTGTGCAGGTGATTTGTAGCTGCCACATTTTGGACTGTGTACTTTTCTGGTAAAATACTGGCCCTGAGATGTGTTTGGTGTGCCAAGTATTGCTGTGATTGAGTCTGTTAGTGTGACTTGGTGTGGAGCTTCTATCTTTCTGGGGAGTATCAAGGGCATAGTGTGTGAAAGGAGAGTTTTTGCTTTTGATATTTAGTGGCTCTGACTATTTTAATCTAGGTAATGGCCTGAAGGGTAGCAAGACCAGGTTTTTTGGCACTCAATTCCTCTAGCTTATAAAGGTCCTACTAACCATGAGAGCCACACAGAGTATTCCAGAGGACTCACCACTAGCATGTCTTTAGCTAATGAGGATATGTTTAAAGAAAAAGCTTTGGGGAACAGGAAAGCTGATCTTTCTTAACATAGCACGGCTTTGGTATGAATTGGAAGGTCAAGAGCACTGGCTGAAAAGTGGGTCCCTGAATTCTAACACCTTTCTCCACAGAGAATTGTTCTGCAGGGGGCAGGGTGGCAAATGGGGTGAAGCTCCTCATGCCCAAGCTTTTGCGGCTCTATGCCCGGATAAGAATTTGGGATTCTCTGCACTCCTCTCAAACTGCTTACTAATCCCAGACTTTTTTCTCTCCAAGGATTGGCCAAGGGAGAAAGAGCCACAATTTGGGTGTATGTGCCTTTCTCTGTGTCAGATTAAGGCATATGTAAACAAAGGTTTCCTCAATTTTCTGAGGACGTTGGTTGCTTTACTGATTAAATTAGTGATTTACTTTGGTCCACCTGGATGCCTGGTTTGGTTTTTCTGTTTGTTTGTTGTTTTTGTTTTTATTTTTGGTATTGGGAATTGAACTCAGGACCTTGTGCTTGCCAGACAGGCACTGTACCACTATATGAGCTATATGCCAGGCCTGCCTTTGTTTATTTGATGTGGAGAAGTCTTACTGTTACTGTTTAGCATCAAGGTGCACAGGGCGGAAAAAGAGTCCCTACTTCGGAGACTGGCTAATACTGTATATATCCAAGTACTTAGATGCCATGGCTTTGGAATGGCTTGGGTGTCTAAGAACACTAACTACACCTGCTGTCTTGGTGTGGAAAGCTACTGAGGTGTCCCTCAACCAATCCTGAGATGCACAGACCCCTTGCAGAATCAAACTCTCTTAAAGACAAAGCACAACAGAGGCTGACTGCTGAACTGTGTCACTCTCCATGTTACCTTGAGGCATGCCATGGTCTATATTCAGTCCCCTACCCAGCAGGGAGTACCACCCGCGGGGTCTGTTACTAAGAGTTAAAAATTCTAGTTACAGGGAAATTCAGCTCTGTTTTGATGAAAGAGCTTTAAGACAAGCAACATTTTTATTTTGTTGGAGGAAAAGTAATTTTGTCTAGACTGGTGGTTTTATAGGTATTGTTTTAGGATACAGAGTTAGGGAAGGAAATTTCATCCCTCAATGAAGCTAGAGGTCATTTGTCCTGACTGTCATTATTTCAATTATACAGTATTGTTCTATGTAAATTGCATGGAATATTTGTCTCTTAACAGTGGTCTTGTGAGAACTTTTAGAGCCTGACTATATTCCAGCCTGCTTTTTCAATAGCTATGTAGTAGTTTTGTAGATTGAAGATCTTTGTAAATGGTGATGCTGGGAGTAGCTCTGGAATTCTGGGCCAGGCTAGCATTGTGGCAGAAGTGTTAGATATATGAAGTGTGTTCCCTCCTCCATGCTTGCAGTTACCTCCGCTGGTGTTTAGACCTCCTACGTGCCCATTGATGGGATGCTGGTGAGAGGGAAGCACTTTGGAAAGAAGCGGTATTTAAAAGGCACCTTTCTTTAGTGCCCCTGACTTCTCTATATATCTCAGTCTCTGGCCTTCTGTTTTCTTCTCAGAGACTTGCAAGACTGGGAAGTTCCACCTTCTTTGCCAGATATGACAGGTGTAACTACACTCACTGGAGGTTTGTGCTCAACTGTATGCTAAAAGCTATACATACTTAGTTCACTTAACTTTATTAAATAGATAAGGTTCTCATTATCATCTGCTTTATGTATGAACAGACAGAGGCTCAGAAAAGATTCAGTAAACTACACAGTGTCAACCCGGAAATGGCAAAATGCACTTGCACATCCATGTGGTAGGCTTCTAGAGTCCACAGTTTCAAGAACTACTGTACTGGTGTCCAGATGAAACAATGGCAACCACAGAGTTGGAGCATTGCACAACAGGCAAAAAACAAAGCAGATTTAGGATTGTCCTCTATATGAAAATTTCTCACTTGTGCTCAGGCTACCTGCACTGGGATAGGCTGAAAGCCTAAGAGAGGTAAAGTAAAACAGGAAGACATCTGAGGCCACCCTTGAGAGCTGAGATGCCCAGGGTAAGGGGAAGACAGTGCAAAAGTCCCTCGGAGGATCCATGACTGGGTTTCAGGATTCCCACATGGGAAGACAAACTCCTTGGATCAAGGTCCCTGCTGCAGAGATGAGGGTCCGATGAGTCCATGGGACTTGGAGGCTTTGTAGGTGACCCAGAAGCTCCAGGATAAATAGTGGAGCTGCTTCTCCCTTCATCTTAGGAGGAAAGAAAGGGGAGCTGGGAGGCCCTGTGAGAAGGAGCTATAAAGCAGTATGCAGTTGGGTGTCACAGTCACCAGAAAACACCTACATGTCCCCAGCTCACAGGTAAGGAATGTGTGTATGTGTGTGTCTCTGGGTTTGTTAGAAGGAGAGGCAGACAGAAATAGTGAGGCAGAGAGAAAGTTAGTTGGCTACTAGGCAGGACAATAAGAAAAAGAAGGTCATTTTCTAGTGAGTCCAACCATCCAGCTTGTGCTGAACTACAGAAAGAAATGGCAGTGGCCTTTAATTTTCAACTTCATGGCCAGTGTCCCTCTGAAACTTTCCTACCACATGGGCCATTGACCCATAAACAGGGAGAGAGATAAGGACAGAAGGACCCCAGGATGTAGCTCATTTCCTGCCCCTGTTCCCACAAGTCCCTGCTCAGCAGCATCTACTTCCCACTCCTGCCTGATCCTAAGCATGTCTAGTGCTGTGCCTTGAATAAGCAGGGCTCAGAGGGGCTAGGAAGGGTGAAGTCAGCCCAACCAAAGTACTCCACTGTGCAGTGCACTGTTCCCATGCTAGCAGTCCAGAAATGCAGGCCCTCAACCAAGAGGGGACTGTCAGATTCCTTTCTTAAAGACAAGGAATCTACA